TATATATATATATCGAGTATATTGTGGAAACTTCAAACTGCAACAATCTAGATACATTTGAAAGTTTTTGTTTTTGTAAAGAACACATTTTTATTTTTTATGCACATATTGGATGTTGTCAGTGAACAGTTGCACTCTGAAAAGGAAATGTTGGATTTACTTAACCATGTTACCTGGTTCCACTTAACTGATTTGAGTAAATTCAAAGCAACATACTCATGTTCTTTGGCTAAAAAACTGGAATATTGCTTTGAATTTACTCAACTCAGTTAAGTGGAACCAGGTAACATGGTTAAGTAAATCCAACATTTCATTTTTTACAGTGTAGGAGGATGTTAGAAGAACAGGTGCCTGTCCTACATTTAATACCAAAAACTTCCATTATTTTTTTTCTCCACTTGAAAATAATCACAAACTTTTCATGACTTGGTATTATTAGAAGCATATAACTGGAACATCAGTGTTAAATCTATTTCTGCATTCACTACACGTTTACATTGATTGGATGCACTCGCCACGCTTTGCTTCTGAAACTGTTGACTGGGTTTTCATGGTTGGTTGGATCCAACTTGTCCCATGGAAGTTGGCCAGCACTCTGTTTCTCATTATGTTCACTTCATGCTCGTTAGCGGACTGCTTGAGAATATGCCTCACAAGGGTAAGAAAACTGATAGAATATTGGCTCTGAAAATTGTAAGGCTACAAGCAGACTTCAATGGGATTAGCTTAGCACCAGGACCAAAGGAAAAGAGAGAAAACTGCAGGCAGGTTTCTGTCTGACGGTAACAAAATATTTCTTTATTATATATAATTACATACTGTAACTGTAACTCTTTTTTTTGTAGAAGTGTAAATTATTATCTCAATTCTACCCTGGACCTTTTATCTACCATGGTGATCTGAGGAACATTTCATAGATTGTTTTAATTATATGATTAAGATAGATTAGTTCTGTCTCCTGGTTTTGGGTCCTCGAATGATGCTAATCAAAGTAGCTGCACATTAATGTATTATGTTTGAAACATAAAGGGAACACTTGGGTTTAGCCCAATAATTGGTACCCTCTTCCATACTTTTCCCTGAACGCTATCAAAATCTTCTTTACCACATGAAACAACAACCTCTCCAAGCAAGCAGCTGTCATACTTAAAAAGTTGTCATAGTTTCCAGAAACTGCACTCTGTCTGTGCAAAACTAGATGATTATATTATGATCAGTATTTTCTTATCTAACTATAGGGTTTATTGGAACATATTCACCCTAATGTTAAGTCCTCTTCTTTAAGATTCACGCTGGGCTGCAGGTTTGGTGCTAATTAGTTTAATTGAGGTGACAGTGGGTATTTTCAAATGTTTATCTGACACTGTGTGGAAGAACAGCTTCTTTCTGCTGCTGTACAGCATTATGTTTAACAGGATGCTCTCATCACATTAGGCTGTCATCATACAAACGCCTCACAATCCCCTTTGTGATAATGGGTGCAATTTGTAGTACTTTAGACACGCAGCTACATGTTATTCTCAGTGGACACTCATTTGCTGATGGATGAGAATATCTAAAGAAATCTTTTAAAAAGGTGTCTCTCACATTTAAGTCCCTTTTTTTTCTTTGAGTCTCATTAAGCCATGCCCGAGGCTTGGGATAAATCACCAGAGAATTCACTGGATTCCTCTACGATTCAAGTCACAGTTACAGCAGGTAAAATAAGTATTGAACACGTCACCATTTTTCTCAGTAAATATACTACTAGAGGTTCTAATGACATGAAATTTTCACCAGATGTCGGTAACAACCCAAGTGATCCATACATACAAAGAAATCAAACCATAAATGTCCAGAAATAAAGTTATTTGTAATAATGTGGAATGGCACAGTGAAAAAGTATTGAACACATGAAGAAAGGGTAAATGGGTAAAAGTAAAGAGCTCTCTCAAGACCTTCACAACCTTATTGTTGCAAAGCATAATGATGGCATCGGTTACAGAAAAATTTCTAAACTTCTGAAGGTTCCAATGAGCACTGTTGGGGCCATAATTCGCAAGTGGAAAGAGTATCATTACCCCATAAACAGACCATGACCAGGTGCTCTTCATATGATTTCTGACAGAGGAGTGAAAAGAATTATCAGAAGAGTTGTCCAAGAGCCAAGGACC